AAACTAATTAGATAAGTACTAATTAAAAAATGTAGCCAAAAATTAAAAATTAAAAGAATAAATTTGTCAATAAAATTAAAAAATTCCTTTTTGCTAACAGTTTGATACAAAAAGCTACCTTAGCTAGTTTTTTTAATTTGCTAGCGATTGAAATTCTAATCACTATCTGTTAGTCCCAAATCGTTAAATAAAAAATTTTGTTAAACACTTAATTTATAGTAATTTAAAATAAATAAATATATTAAACACTTATTTTTAACTATTTGAGTAAAACCACATATCACTACCTCCAAACTGCTATACCAAATGGCCTTAAACTAGGACTAAAAGCAAGAAAGTAACTAACAAGTTGTCAAGTTATACATATCCTCAGACCGATATCAGGTGGATCAATGAACCCAGCAAGGACTCTAGGACCAGCACTTGGTAGCTTTTACTACAAGGGACTTTGGGTGTATTTCGTTGGGCCACCGATAGGAACTCTATCAGGGGCATGGGCCTACACTTTCATCAGGGAGACTGACGGGTCTGTCAAGCCCAGCTCATTCTCCATCAAGCTCCGTCGCTTAATTAGCACCGAGCAAAGCGTTCGCAACATAGGACCTGACTCTCCTGTCTAATTAATTATAGCTCCTCAGCAATTGAGAGAGATTGCAGAGTTGGAGAAATGCCAGCGTGTGATGTGTGTGGTTTTACTTGCCTTGTTGCCTTGCCTGCAACAACTATTGAGTGTATTGGGTGCGATGTAACTCTGTAAATGTACTCTACAAAAAATGCTTGATGGTTGTTTATGCTATATAAATATACATAAGAAGCCAACCGGCGGTGGTTCAAGGCTCACTTGTAAAGTATGGTAATTTCACTTCTTCTTCTTTTTTTTTGAAAATAGATAATGGTAATTTCACTTCCGCTAGCATACCTGCATTTTATTTTGATAGATAAGTACATGTACATTTGCTTTACCTTTGACGATGAAATTCTTACAAATATGTTTTTTAGATGTCCATATGACATATTAAAAACAAATTAACTCGAGCTTATCAATGATTTTTACATCTTCGACACTAATTTTGATGTATGGTTGTCTTGTCCCATTTATAAAAGCCATGACTTAGAAAAGGATTTAGTTGTCGGTTCAAAAAAATTTTTTTTTTTGAACAATATTACATGGGCGGGGTTGAACCCTACCCAGGGATGGGGAAATGCATCAGGTGGTTGGAGACCACTTGGCTCAAAGAGTCGGATGCGGTTCAAATTATTTTTTTTATTGATAAAATAAAGAATATTGATTAATACTATATTGTTGTTATTTTTTTTAAGTTATATTATATTTTATTTTTGTGCTAACCTCTAATTATATTGAGTTCTGATTAATTTAGAATTGAACCGCATCGAACCTCATTTGAAAAAAATTCTCTCAACGCATGTTTCTCCATTCTTAAGACTCGAAATCAAAATTTTATTTAAAGAGAATAAAACTTTATTCACTCAAATCAACAAGTCGTTGGTGTTATACTATATTTTATGCAATGGATAAAGCTAATAAAAAATATTTTACATAAATGCATTAATATATTTTTCACCATGGAAGTACTAATTTTAATTTAATTATTATCATGGTCAAATTCATAATATTCATTAAAAAAAACCTTAAAATTCAGAAAATAAGGAGGTAATTAAACTTAGAGATGGAGGTTATTTCAGTAATTTGGATCCAATATCTTTAACAGCCTGTAAAGAAAGAAAGAAAGAACAAAAACGGAAGCCTACAGCTTCAATGGCGCCAAAACAGCAGATGCATCTCTGATTACGCGTCCATGTCTCCCCAAAACCTCCTCCGTCATCTCATTGACAAATGGATCCTCAAATTCTGTGCTAGCACTCCTAAACCCTCACTTTGGACTCATGTGGAGGAGTCCATATTATCCAGCCGTTGATGAAGTAGTTGCAGCTCTGATGAGCAAAACACACTGAAGAAGGAGAAGGAGGAAGTGTGGCATCAATTGGATGTGTTCTCGTTTTGAATTTTGTCTCAATTTCTCATCTTTATGCATGTAATGTTGTTACTTTTAATGCGCATTTGCAGATAAATGATGGGTAGCTTCATTGGCTGGCTATTCTTATGTGTTTTTTATTTTTTATTTTTTATTTTTTATTTTTATATTAGAGAGTTAGTTATTTGACATTATAAAGACTTGAAACTTTAACCATAACCCTAAATTAAAATTTTTAAATTAGTGGATAGCAACTCGCTCATGCTCTTGTGGGTATTCTTGGGGTTTTTGGTAATGGGGTTTTAGTTCTTAGGTGTTTTAACATTGTGTCTGCTATGTGTATGCCATAGTCAATTGATTTTATGTCTGTTTGGTTGCTGAAGACTCAGGATGAGAATAGGGATATGAACAAAGCGTTTTCCTTTACCTAGGAAAAATGAGAGAAATTCAAACAAATTAATGAAATCAAAGTGTTTGTGCAATCATGTTTGTGATTATTAAAAGGAGAAACTGATGGCTTGCATATAATTTGAGTGCTGTTTGGGAGGACAGCTTGGAAAAATGAGTAATCCTCTTGTAAGACATCCAACTCCAAGCGCAGGACATGAGGTCCCTAGCGCTTATGGGGAAGGCCCGTCAAAGCAACATACCAGGCACTGCGGGTGCAAGAGCAATTTCCTGATGAAGGGTGAAGGAAGAGTTTGTGGGGAGAAAGCTGAGTGCCGTATCTGTCAAGAGATGGACTTCACAAGTAAAGTGGAATCCCCATGTGCTTGTAAGGGAACAATCAAGGTATATCGATGTAACTAGAAGCAGTAATTTCTCTTTCATTTTCTCTTTTAATTGTCTCTGTTATTGAGTTACTGTGTTTTCTTTTTATCCCTAGTTTGCTCACAGGAGCTGTGTTCAAAGATGGTGTGACGAGAAAGAAGATGTTACTTGTGAAATTTGCCATCTGGTGTGAAATGAAATTGGCAACTGAAATGTTCATTACCATCTTCCTTTAAGTTTGTATAGAGTTTGTTCTTCATGTCAAGATTTCTGGAGAAGAATCATCGTATTACCCCATTTCTTTTTCTTTTCTGTTTTTCCCCTTTTTCTTTGTTCCAAGTAGCAAGGATTATGAGTTATGTATCTGATTATTGATGGGAGGATATCCATTGCTGCTAACCTCTATCTTTCATGTGCTTCAATGCAGAGATATAAACCTGGTTACACTGTCCCATTGCGCTCCTCAGAAGCAATTTGCAATGCAATGGCAAACACAAGGCAAGTTTGATCTCATTATCTGCTACACTTACAGTGTGGGGAGAGATAGTATATGTATGGCATTTCCCCCTCTAATCAATCAGATTTCATAACATTTTGTTTTACTATCCTAACTTTGTCTCTGGTGCTTAAACTTTCTTGTGGTTGCCTTGCAGCGAGGGCTTGGTGGTTTCTACCAATCCTAGAGAGCTGCACTCACCTGATTTCACGATAGAAGATGTGGAGCTCCTCCTGGAGGCTGAATTTGATGAGTATAACAATGAAACTAATAATGACAATGAAGGAGCTGCTACCTCGAAGAAAGCAGCTTTAATTGTAAGACTTTACCACCAGAGTTCAACATAATTATAATAATGGAAACGTTGAGATTCATTGTTGCAGCTACTGCTTCTAGTATTATTGATGATGTCAAAGAAGATGCATAAGATTACAAAATATCTAAGATCTAGGAAATATTACTATGCTACTTACTGCATGTTACTCTATCACTCCCAAGGTTAAAAGTGATCTTCAACTCCCTAATAATGTAACAATGACCCACGTTAAGGTAGAATGGGCTATTAGCTTAATTACATTCATGGTATGAATTCCAATATACATATTTGTTTACTTCTTGGCAGTTCTTGACAATTCTGCTATTGAAGGATTTCACTTACTTAGCAGATGAGTCACAGGAAATCGATCAAACATCTAACTCCTTCTATGTAGGCGGTATTTAAAATAATATAGCTTTCTCCAATCAATGTAGTAAAACTTCGATCTCCTTCACTTATTTATAAAAACTAAGATGCTAACTCATTATCCACGATGGCTGATCAGCTGATGTTGGGAGTGCTGATACCATGCTACATTATAACATTTGTTGTCCATTACTGGACTGGCTGCAAGCAGGGATACGTGAGTTCCTCTTCCATGATACATTTACAAAATGATGTTCCCTCATAATGTGTGTTAATGCCTGTAAACGGATTGTGAAGCAGGATACAAGTCAGGTCACGGAGCCTGAATCGGAAATTGTGATAAGAGTCACAGGAAGACAACTCATCCAGCTGCTGTTCTTATTATTAATAGCAATAGCATCAACATCTAAGACCCTCCTTACAAAGTACTAAATCTTGGTCTTAGGAGTAGAAAAAAGCTGTTCTAGAAACTTTGTGTGTGTGTGTGTCTACAGTATGATAATGCAGTACATTTGTATGTTTCCCACTTCTGTCCTATATATCTTGTGTAATAGTTGATAAATACTTGATGTAGCTGCTTTATACCGGATGGTGATATATATGCTTAAAATAACTTCACTTTGGGTTAGCAGCCATAGATAAACTACATTATGTTGAGTGGGAAAATCCCACAGTGAGTGCTAAGTATATAGTTTAAATATAAAGATGATTACTTTATATATTACCCATTAATTTTAGGTTGGATACAAACTTTAAGTTGGAAATTTGTCTTCATTGTCTAGCTCATTGTCTAACTAGCCATCAGTTGCTTTGAGGTTCCCCTTATGTTATATTCATCTCTTCAGTCCAATCGAAGGCAAGAATAGATCTCCTTTTTTGTTTTCTTTTTTTGCTGAGTTATAGTGGAGGAAAGTTTGACAACTAGAATTTAATATTGGATGGGGCTCTAGTTTTAACATGGTAGGATATTACAACCACTGAGCCCCCACAATAATTATGATATTGCACCCTAAGGAAGCTACACAATAGAAGTGCTACTAATCTAGTAAGCTCCAGCCTTAAAAAGCTGCCCCATAAATAGAATTGCTTCAGGAAGCACTTCCACTAACTTTATCCTAATCCATCCTTGCAAAGAGAAAAAGAGTGTGAATGTGAGAAACCCTTCTAGCCTTTTGCAAAGCCTTAGTTGGAATTATAAATACACCCTTGTAAATGCTGGAACTATTTTTCTGTAGAAAAACTTAGATCCAGATCTATAATGCTATATGGTCTGTATCAATGGAATATTCTTTTTTCCTATAAATTCCAAGCCCTTTTACACCCATATTTTCAATTTCTCATTACATTCTTCTTTAATGAGTTTTTGTGTAAAAAACCAAAAAAAAAGAAAAAAAAAAAAGAAAAAAAAATGGCAATTTAATGAATGTTTTGAGGTCTAAATTATGTAACAGATCATTTGGACTTCCTAACCCAATGATTATATACTTCATTGTAAGATGCACCCTCTCCCAAAATTGTAATCTATTCAAAAAAAAATTATGTAACACAGCTCTACAGAGGTAGCATGTGATTGATCCCACCTGCCAAACAGTGTTAGTCCTTTAAAATTTTCTGTGGATTTTATTTTTTTATCCATTTTTTTCATAGAACATGCATGGTTCAGATCTTCTGGCCAGAGACCAGAAAGCCTGTGAAATGGGAAAGATAATTAGATAATTATCTGAATTCTGAGCCCTTTGTTCTGGAATTTGGGACAGTGCATTGACATATCCTATTCCTGTATACCACCCTCTGTTAATTTTAGTAAGGCCCAATTCAGATCTTCAACTTAAATTCCCAGCCAACCGCCTAACCCCGCCTTGCCACCTTAGGAGCACAAACAAGAGCAGCAGAACCCCATGCTTTCTCTGTCAAGGCTGTAATATATAACTGGTAAGTGCCTATCTGTGTCTGCCCTAATTCAAGGGTGCAGAATTAGGATGAATTACCCAAATTCATAAGCGAAGCATTAATACTTAAAAATGGCCATCTCATATTTAACTTCAAAGTCTCAAATTTCACTTCAATAAAAGTGAGGAATTCCATTTCCATCATTCCATGATTCATAAACAAAGAAGAAAGTGCAGTAGATTAGATAAATAAGATCTTCATTAATTGATAAAATATAACAAAGATTTGATTTAGCCACTCTCATGTGAAGGGTGTATAACCCCCATGGAGTGACATATCACAAGGAATACAACCATGAACCCATATCACAAAAACATCTAAGGGAAACATAAAATATATGACATAGTAGCAGAATTGATAATGGGCAAAGGAAAGAAACAAGGGCAGGTAGGACTGTTTGGGGCAGATGGATCATGTGTCTTTTAAGTTCAAGGGCACTTGGGTCCTCCTTCCTTGGTCTTCCAGTTGTTGTAGCAAGGGCACACAGCTTTATTACCATAGTACCCTGGAGGCACACACAGGCACTTGTTGCAACACTTCTGACAGAAGAACATGCAAGGCTTGTGGTATTGGGTCTTGCTGCACCTCCTTGAGCACTCAGATGGGCATTCTGATAAATTCAACCCCACAATAAAGAAAAGAAACAAGAAACATCAGCATTTGCAGTCAAAAAAGAATCGTGGAAAACCCAGAAAAAGTTACTGTTCCCAATAAATTTCTGACAAACAGTCAAAGATGGTTTGACAGAGGAGATTCTTTGGTCATTTGGTCATTTCCCATTTCCCTTATTTTCTGCTTGTTTGGTGAGAATGTGAAAGTGAAAGTGAAGGAAAAGAAAAGAAAGGAAAATGTGAGAATAGAAAGTTGAGCACTTACGGCCACTCTTGAGACTTCCAGGTCCATAGTGTTTCTACAATACAAAAAACAAGATAAAATCAAAATGTCAATGCCAATTTCTTTCATAAAAACAAACGATTCCATAGCTTGAAAAGAAGAAAATGAAATTACTTGATCATAGTGGTGACCTCCATGCCCATTTGATGCCATGACCTGAAATGAGAAAACAAAAAAGAAAGTCAGGAACTTTCTGAATTTTCCTTCCCTTTTTTTTTTCCCCATACAACATTTTCTGGAGAGAGAGAGAGAGAGATAGAAAATGGGATCAAATTAGAGTTCTAACCATGGTTTGGAGCATGGAAATGGCAATGAGAGCCAAGAGGAAGACAACAACAAACTTGCCCATAGCCCCTTTTTTGCTACAAAGAGAAAACCCCTCTCCTAAAATGTCTAAACCAGAGGAATGGAAGTAAGAGAGAGGAACTAAGAGGGCTCTCGGTGGAGTTCTGGAGTATTTCCATGTTGTGCTCAGCACGAGGTATAAATAGACATTTCACTCCGAGAGGAGTTGTATCGAGAATTTTATCAGCTGCGGTCACTCACATGGATCTAAAATTGCGCCTTTCACTTGATGAATGACACGTCTGGAAGCAGAATGCAATTATGGATAGTAAAGCGTCAACCTAAAATTACTTATCATAAATGTTTTTTCAGTACCACCGGCACGAAAAAGAACAATTTAACAATTAAAAACATCAGCATTTCTCAATGTAACGTAAATGGTCACGTTTCTTGTATTAGAAGTAAGGTAAATCGTTACACATAATCATAATTATTAGGTTGATTTTTTTATTGTATTTGAATAAATATTAATTTATTAATTATATTTTTATAATAAAAAAATAATTAAAAACATCAAAATGTTCATAATAAAATTTTATCTTATATTACAATATAAATAATGTTGTGATAATTTTAATATCAAAATTATATTTTGTTTACTATTTTTATTGAAAAATATTAATCTCATTACTTATAATCAAGTAGAATCATCTTATTATATTTAACTTAAAAGTTTTCTTTTATCTAATTTATACTACATATTCTTTCTCCAATTTCAAGAATTAGTAAGTTCTTTTTAATTTATTAAAATTAAGGAGAATTTTAAGAAATCCATTAGTAACTACTTTTAGAAGAATGGTAGTCATAAACCAGTAGTATAAGCTGGTTTGGGAATAAATGCAACAAATAAATTTTGCAGCAAAGGTGGTTCAGCGGTTAGGTTACGCAACAAAAAGGAACATGAAATATTGTATCCTATTTTGTCTGGTAACTAAATGCTGTTTCCAACTAACGCTGCATATAGCAATGAGTAAATTCCCGAGGACCTTATTGAATTTTGGTTAAAAATACGTCTTGGTAATTTCTATTTAGAGAGAACTTACAATGTCTCACTAAAAATTGCTTCTTCTTAACCCAAGTGGTTTTATTGAAATTAAAATTCTTCTTTTTGGGCTTCAAAGTTTTTCATTTTTAAACGTGTGAAATTTAGCAATCACGTAGAGTTTTGAAGTCTTCCAATAATTCCCAAATGTATTTTTCATATAATATTTATGGAATTTTTTATTTTATGTGATGCCGACAAAAAAAAAAAAGGGAAATAGAGAGATGAAAATCTACAAATCTCAAATTCTGAGATAATAACAAATTTGAGAATGAAAATGAAATTATTTTATTTCCTACTGTATTATAGAGTTCATAATTAAAAATAGAGTTAAAAAGAAAAGAATAAAATTTATTTTATAGTTTAAATTATATTAAATTATATAATTAAAATTTTTTTTAAAATAAACTACAATTTTTTTTAAAAAAAAGAATGAGATAAAAAAATTTTCAAATTTTGGTTAAGTGAATGATAAACAATATCATTTTTACTCACTTTATAAATTAGATTTATATAATTAAAATTATTAAATAAAAATAACCTTATTATTACGAAGTTATTTTTTTAATTATGTATTTTTGTAACTTAATATAATTCAAATTGTGTAATAATTTTACATGAAAAAATAATTAGATAAGG